GCTTTTTAGGATCCTTAGCAAAAACTGAAACATTTCCTGATTTTTTTTTTGTAAGTGCTACATATTTCTGCTTCTGGCTAAAGTCAAATAAACGGGAAGAAGGAAAAGTCACAGCAAAACCCAAAACTAAATAAACTAGCAGGTAAAGCATAAAACCATTCATAGTACACATGACATGTTTGGTACAGCTCATTTTGTCCTTTATGCATGTTTGGACCCCTCTTCAAGGGAGAGCACAGAGGACAGTGAGACTGAGGAGAGGATCTCTTTTTGGAGGTATGAAATTCTGTATTTGGATCTAAAACTATAAGCAAACCAGTGACAGCTCTCCAGAAGGTCTAGTTTATGACAGCAGTCAATAGAAGAAAGGAACGGAAGAGAAAAACTGTACAAATTTTGTCCTACATTTCTAGGCCACAAAGCTAGGGAGACAGCAGAATGTTGATAGCGATGGCTGCAGATAGGCCACGTTAAAGACAAAAAGACAAAAACTAGAAAAATAGAAAAAAGGAAAAGAACCAGGGTGACTGATCTAATTCATAGCTTCCTCATTTGATGTTCCTATATAAGTTTCTTTTTGAAGAAGAGGAAAGCCTACAGAACTGTGAGGAGCCGTAATCCATCGAGGGGTCTGACCAGGTTGTAGACCAGCCCACAGACTGCTCAGGCTTTAGAGCTGGCTGAACTTTGGGTACACCATTATCCTGGAGGAAATACATGTTTATAATTTTGCTTCAGGATTAAAAGAAGCAGTTAGGAAGGGGAAAAATAAGACATCAGGTGACAATAAAAGCCATCAGGACTCTGCTGCATAGCATGAGTTTTGGTTTGGTTATGTAAATACAGGCAACAAACATGGAAAATACTGACTTTAAGAATGGTGAGGAAACCTGGTGGTGCAGGTAAGGCCTTGAATCTTTTTCACGGCAATCAGCGATCTGCCTACCCTCCCTTACATTTACCTGTTTCATAGAATCCATTTGTATTTGCGCATTGTTTTAAAGTTATGGAAAGGAACTAGGAAGGAGGTTACTGTGTGAGCGTGGGCTGGTTTTGGTGTGGGGTTTTTTCAAATGTAAGTGAAATGGGGCTGGAGCGTGGGAAATTCCTTCCCTCAGCAGTCACTTAACAAATTGGCCATTTTTCATCTACTTTTAGCGGTCAAAAAGACTGTCAAAGAATTTTAAAGGAAAACACTGCAAAAAGTTATTAATTGAAGAAAGATCTTTGGCCTTCATTATTCCAACCAATGAAAGCAAAATTTATGCATCATTATTTGGGATATTGTTTCCTAAAAAGGCTATAACAAGTAAAACGAGACAGACAGAAGATGAAGTAGGAAAATACTAAGGTATGGAAAAAAACAAACCCTGGATACTGCAACTCTGTCAATAGTCAACATTTCCAACACGTGCATTTTTAATTTGCATTTCATTTAGGAACATAAGATTTACTATCATGATTTAACCATTAGTCAACTAAACCAAGGAAGATCCTAAATATTTCTTAGAGAATGACACGCATACACGCTTCTTGGATCTTCTTCCTCCCTGTATTCAGACTATTCATACATTTATTTCACACATGCAGCGTTTACTGTAACATCACTGCAGTCTTACCAACACTATGGCAGCCAAGACAACAAAAGCGATGAGGGATTCAGTCTACGTACTTCGCAGTGCTACCAGAGCCTGCCGGCCTCTACAGTCGAGAAAAGAAGGAATGTGCAATAGCTGAGCTGGGCATCTATAACCAACAGCCTGAATGTTACTCGACACATCACAGATTATCGGCACAGAAACATCTAGTCTGATCTCCAGTGCAACATAGACCACTCCGGAATTAACTTGTGTTTTAACTACAGCATCTGCTGAGAAATCCAGTTTGTATCTAGGACCAACAACTCTTGTCTAATTACATCAATAAAAACGTATGGTCTGGATTTGTTCAGCCACAAAGATGAGCCAATGAACCTTTTAAAGAAATTTCTATTCTCCACACAAGTGTCTCTGAAAGGAAAAAAAAAAAAGGCCAACCCCCCCCCCTTGCTCTCTCTGCCTACTCTTTGTTAAGCCAAACAAGATTTTTCTTGAGATTTTCAAGATGCATTCTCAATCCCTCAATGTTTTTCATGTTTCACCTCTAATCCTCTGTCTCATCTCTCAGTTTGCTCCTTGAATTCTGAACAACAGAATTAAGTATAATATTTGGGCACAACACAAGGAGATATTACCTACATTTTCTGTCCTACTAGATACACCCCGCCTAAGGATATCACTGGCCTTTTAGGCAAAGTACCACGTTGACAGATCATTGTTCCCCAGACTGCTTCACAGAAAAATTGCTTCCCCGGAAAGCACCCTCCCTCTTCCATTCTTTGTTCATATAAATAGAGATAAAATCCATACACTTGGCAACCCTGAAGCACACAGTTTGCTAACACAACGCTTAGCGCAGTCAGCACCTGAGAGGAGGCAGGGAGCTCAATGCACAATTCGGAGAACAGGAATAAGATTCCTGACTCCTCCAGCGACTCGCTTTCTCTCTGAAATATTAGCATTTGCTATTCTTAGCATATTCAACACAATATTAAAGTCATCTGCACCTACTTTTTTTTTTTTTTTTGTAATATATAGATACTGCCATAGTAGCTTCAGGTATTGCTTCAGTATAAAAAGGTTTATTTAAAGAGAACATACACAGAGATGCCCTGGATGTTACAGGAGACTGGTCAAACTCTTTGGTCTATAGAACCCTCTCTTTTCAGGTCAGGCACACAAATTCTTTCAAAGTGCTTCTTCATGGCTTGCTTATGTGCTTCCATGGCACGTCCTTAGCTGCTGTTCATTCAGTCAAGCAGCTTCAGATGACATCAATTTCTTGTGTTTGGATTCAGCTCTTAGAAGACCCTCAAAACCATGACTCAGATTTGCTTGGCTTGTATGTAACTTTTGTTTGGCTGATGGCTTCAATTCTTCCAGCCATTTTATGCTGTTCCCTGCCTTCCTGCTCGGAGAGGGCCAGGTGTACCTCTGAGGGATACTTCAGCCCAGCCAGCTGCACTGCAGTGAGTCCTTCCCGGTGACTGATCAGGTTTGATGAAATATCCCCCTCCAAAATGGAGGTAAAGCAGGTTAAGGCAATTATTTTATCACAGTTCACTAAATTCTTCCTATTTTTAAGTGACATGAACTATTGTAACCCTTTAGATTTCTAATTTAAGCAATACCCTTATTTTCACAACCTTTTTCACTTATGATTCGTATTATATTTTCCTGCTCTTCTTCAAAAATTCAGTTTGTTTTAACTGTAGTCAAAGCTATTGCCTGCATTGTGATAGCAAATGCTTATTGTGTGGTATAAACAATTGTGTGTATCCTACATTGCAAGACTGGGGGGGTCTAGTATTTGACAAACTCCTGCTTACAAGCATAAGCACAGCACTGACAACAATCAGATAAAAAAAAAAAAAAGCTAGAAGTTGATTAAAATTCTTTCAAGACTGATTCTGAAGTATCGTATCATATGTGTTCTCTGGCCCCTATCCAGACTGCCATTTGAGAAGAAATCCCAATCCAGTTCTTTCCTACCTTTTTTGCCTGCAAAAACCAAGATAATCTGCAATATGCCTGTGAAAAGGAAAGCGCATTTGCATATATACTGGAATCAGTTCCTTACTAGATATGTCTTTTCTTGGCTAGGAAAATATATTTCCTCTTGCAAAGGTAAAGACTCCGCCTCCTCGTATGGAGTTTTGTTTGAAACCACCCAAGAACAGCGCTCATAAATAGTGCACAAGAAAGCACAATGGGCTCAACATCTTATAAGCAAAACTCTTTACTCTGCTAAGCTGAAGTTTTTCAGTTTTTGGCAGACAGATGATTTTAGAACTCCAATAAACGTACATTCAAGTCGTACAGCTTTTCTCAGCTAAAGATTTACATGGGCCTCCTTTTGTCAGCCACAAAAGTATTTTAAGAGTTTGGAAATTCTAGAAGCTTTCCTCCGGCCTTACTCAGCCACTCAAGCTTGATCCTCATTAAATCCCCTGACATGTAATATATTCCAGCGTACAAGAAGCCCTTCATTACTTCTCCATGCTTAGAAGGTAATAAACCCATTTCAAAGGATGGAAGTAGGAACTATTGCAGGTGTTTCCTCACCACTCCATGCTGAGCCAGGAAGGTCGTGCTAACACAGTTTGAATGAGTCAACAGTATGTCCAGTAATGACTTGAGAAAAAGCATTTTTAGATTCCAGTAAGGAGGGTTTCTGCTCTTGCAGAAGGTTTAGGAAGGAACTTTTCTGAAATGCAGGATAGGTGCTGGAGATACTAATTCCATTTCTAACTCAGTTACCAGCTTCTGTCAGCGTGGGCTTAGCAGGTGACTGCACATCTGCCGAGCTGGGCTAACTGCCATGGGTGCGCTCTGAAGGCTACCACTGAGCCTACAGTTTCTTACACAGCCTTTGCTTCTCCACTTGTGAAATTTAGATAATGAACTTCAACAGCACACTGTCAGGCTCATTTTGTTTAATAAATGCGGACCTCTGAGAGCTCAGGTGAAAGTCATGCCTCAAAAGCTATTTTCCTCCCATAATTTAAACAGGAACTATTTTTATTTTCCAAGATTCAGAACAGATGTATATCAGACTCAGCTCAGCACGAGGAATATTTCTGAAACACATTTGCAGAATGTGTGTGCAGGAGTACAAATTTCTCTGCCACCTTAAACTGCACTAATTTTTTAATGTATTTTATAATGAAGCATCAGTATTTTGACTCAGAACAGTGGCCATGTTTGTGAGCACGTGTATTGCAATATTGGTAGAACTAACATCTTTCCAGGAAGACATCCAGGTTGCTTTAAAATGGGACTAGATTATTGGGTAATTATACACTCATGGACAAAGTAAACGTGCATTTGGACCCTTCCCTTCAGGCACTGAAGGGCCTCCTCATGCATTCCTGTTGTTCTTTGGTTGTGGCCCTTTCTTACCTGTGTAATTGGGAGGGCAGAGGCAGACGTAGTTGTTGATCCCATCCACACATGTAGAATTATTCTCACAGTCGTTATCTTCGCAGTCATCTGGGTTTATTTCACACCTCTCCCCCTCATACCCAAGGACACAAGAACAGCTTTGGAGAAAGAAAAAAATTAAGAAAAGTTAGTATGAAGGGGCAGGAGGTTTGAGGTATAAAACTGAAATTAAAACATATACAAGTGAGTTGCTGGAGCCACTCTCACCGCTGTTGTGAAGTACAGAGCACTTTAGCCCTGTGCGTTTGGTGAGGGACGCAGTCTGATGGTTCATGGGGTAATGTAACTATTTACATGAGACATAAAGCATCAGCAGGAGACAGCCTCTGTCCTGCTTCTCTTTGCTCTCTTTGTTGATATCCCTAGCCCTGAATTGAAGTAAGCAACTCCAGGGCAGGAGAGTAAACACTCATCACAATATTCAAATCCTTGGCTTCTCTGTTAATGAGTTTGCGAGTATGTGGATACTTGCCTACTGAGGACTGCACAATGACAGGGCGACTTGGCAGCTTTTAGATAGCTCGCTCTTTTTAAAGAACAACGGCTTGAATTGAGTTTACAGACATGAACATTTTCTTCTCATTACCACTTTGTCACTTGTCCAAACAAGAAATGTTTGGGAATGACTGCTTTTACAAGTGCGCTAAGGTTTCAGTACTTCTACAGCTCCTCCAACATCTATTTGTAGAAGAGCTGATGATGTCTAGATAAGTCAGCTAAAACACAAACAAACAACGGCAGAGCTAGGGATGGTTCTGTGAGGATGTGGACACTGCTGAAGAATAATTGCACGAAATATTTTTTCTCATAAGACTGTGATGTATGGTCCCTAGAGGGAGTGCAAGAATCTAAGTGGCTGAAGAATGACTTCAATTTTTTTGAATCTCAGTTTCTTCTCCAGATCTAGAAGTTATGGTTGCTAAGAGAACCTTTATATTTTAAACTAGCTGTAAGTGATGAAGACATGGATGCTACAGTTTCCTAAAAGAGAGTCTAAAAACATGTGTTAAGTGCTCCACTCATTTCAGTGGCTTCTAAGAAGCCAGCAATGATATTTGAAGTGCCAGTGTTGCTGTTCACTAGTCCCAGAAAGCATGTGTGTGGAAGGGAAGTTGTGTTGTTTCGAGTTCCAGTCCAAACTACACATTCACTCAGCCGTTCATTTCCTTTCCCATGCAGGTTCTGGTGGTTGAAAAGGAACTGAACAAATGTAAAGCACTACTGACGGATGAGGATGAAAACCAGAAAGCACCAGAGCAGTCACGCTAATTGCCACCCAATGCTTCCTGAAACCAGGAGAATTTCCAATGCAGAGACAGCTGCAGGGTACTTTTTTTCAGCTCAGATGGACAAAGTAGGCATGGGGTGGTTTTCCTGCTGTATGTAGGTCTCATGGGGTTGAGATAGGGAATGCCCATAAGAAACAGGAGCTCTTCAGAATCTGTGAAAAAAACTGCATCACTTTTGGGCTGGTTGCTCTCAGTGTGACGTGAGCTTCTCTAGCTTGTGTGTGCCACAGACTGAGCAGAGTGCAGGGACTGCCAAGGGAGGGATGGTACAGAGCTCTGTATCCACCGTCAGTAGGTCCTAGGTTGGACCCTGAGGATAAGGTTAGATTCTTCATGACATGGGCGACTTCCGACTAAGGGAATAGCAAAGAGGAAGAAAAAAGGTTAGGGAATGTGTCTTGAGCCACCGCAACAATAAGATCTTCTAGATGGGTACAGAACAGGCATATAGATCACATGCTAACAGTCATCTTCATTCAGTTCTGCAGGGACCCTTCACAGGTCATGAGAGTTAGAAAACCTTCACCATGAATAACCAAAACGAAACTGTTCAAATAAATCCAATTTAGGACACAATAAATCAATAAGAAATACTTTCTTTTCCTGTCTCAAGCTCATTATTGCTAATAAAATATGTCCTCTTGCTGACCCTGCAATGATCCAGAGGATCACGGGATAAGAAAGAAGAGCTGGCACACGATCTTTTGTGGCAATGCAAGTGTCAGGGAGGGGGTTAAAGACATCTAATTAAATACAGTGGCACATTCATCATGTCTCTTTTTGATTACAAAACTCCATTTTCAGGGGTTTATAACTCAGCCATAAAAATATGTTCCAGGCTGCAACTTGGCATCCAAGGTCTCAGTTTGGGAGCACAAATTTTTCTCTCCATTTAAAGAAAAGCAACAAGAGTGGCTTTGTGCTGGTTATTTTTATGTGAAAATAACACAATTTTCCTTCCACAAAAGGATTGAGACAGCTTGGAAGTAGGCAACTAAAAATGACATTATTAAATACTATCACAGTAATGGCTCAACTCAGTTGAGTTACCATTAATAACAATACATATGGGATTGTTAACATACAATTGCTCAGTATTAGGACACATTCCATACCGAAGGAAATGTCAGCATAATTGATGACATTTGGCTACCGGTCCCTATGTATTATAGGGAGTCTTTACATTATTGCTTACGTATGATTCTTTATTTTGATTTGCATTCGAATGTGCCAAATATGGGGACTGAAATTAAATGATAAAACATACAATTTGGGACCCGGATTGAACCATATGTTGAAAGAGTTGCAGTTTGGGACTGTTTGTATGTATTTTCCCAGGAAAAGCTTAGAAGAAAAATTACGTTTGCAGAGTGACTGGAAGGTCATCAAACTTGGGTTCCAGCTGACCGAGAGAGAAAATTAATTCCAGAGACGACGATGAAAACTTTGTACTGACTAAATAGTGAAGCAGCGTGAGACAGTATTTCATTTGGACCTCAGAAACAATGGAGCCATGCAGGAAAGAACTATTTTCTAAGATGCTGCGATTGCAAAAAGGTCCAAATTCCCTATTCCTCCAGTTTAGGGATTTTCTGTTAGTGTTGTGCTTTCCTAAAAGTAAAGTTCTAAATAAAACCCCAAACCACCATTATCTTCATGAAAGTGCAAGGGAACACAGCACTTAATGACAACATTTGGGGGGGAAACTTTTGGAGCTGAAGTATACTCACAATTTTATAAGTTTACTATATTAAATTTTTGTTTTTCCCAAACTCTAATGAAACAGTTTAGCATCTGTTTATTAACATAGGCATACATACAGTGTATCATGTTTCAAAAAAAAAAAAAATCAGCTTTTACATAGAGATAGTAATTCTTTCAGGAATATTACAGTTTCTTGGTAAAGGAGCTTTCTACATCTACATGCCGATGGAGTAGCCTGTAAGTCTGGAAGTGGAACGTTTCTGCTTGAACTAGGCAGAATTAACACTAGGGAGTTAATGAGTTCCAGGATTTTACATTTATGAGGGAACTTAAAGTTTGTGTAAAATGCTAAAGAAAATGCTCTGGAAAATGCAGGGGGGTTTATATGGAGAATACTTAAAATAACCGAGATACTTTGTTTTCCAACACTGTAGGTTATCAAAGATCAACTGGTTGCCTGTGGCTAACTGAAGCAGAGTTGACAGCTCTGCCTCCTTTGTCAAAGTCGCACTTACAGGCATGCTAAATGACCAGGACATGTCTGATTGCCTATCTTATTTTATCAGTCTCGATATGCACATTTTTGGCAACCTTCTGTCAAAGACATAGATTAGATTAGATTAGGTCAGAATGAGCAATTCAAAGGCAGGAAGAATTTAATGTCTTTAATCCCCTGAGCCACACAATGCCACGTAACTATTCTTTAATACAGAAGTCGTCCCCACCTGAAAAAAGAGAATGTGAAAATTACTCAGAATTGAAAAAGTGCAAGAATAAAAGATGCCAAGAAGGACAGAAGAACTCCAGCTGAACCTTTGCCCTTCGGCTGCCCCACCAGGACCTGCTATTACAACGAACCTGAGCAGCTCAATCCCCCGCTGCTGCGAGCCCTTGTGGGTACCAGGCACAGCGGGCGAGTCAGGCTGGAATCTCAGTCATAACTATGAATTTCCTGCCTTTGCCTGGGGAACATCACCACCTTAGCATTATTTAAAAGGTAATTTTCTTGTCTAGGGCTACAGAAACTTGAGAGTTAAACTGCTTGGCATTTCATAGGGAGAGAGATTTGGCTTAAGTTTCCTTTTTACAAGAGTAAAGATTTGACAAGTTTGGCAGCAGAGCTTGTGTATGAATATATTTCCCTCGGGAAGAGAATATACAGAAGATATAATTTCTTTTACAGGCCACACAACAGAAAAATCCAAGGAGGCCTCTCATGAAAATGTTTTTGACATCCACTTCCTCACAGCATATAATCTAAGGCAATGTTTTCCCATCTTGATGAACACAATTTATATGCACGTAACTCTGACTGCTGCCATCCACTGGAGAGGAGATTTCCCACCAAGAAAAACCAAGCCAACCAAATTCAATCTCAAAATGTTTCTTTATCTTCCCCTTCATTGACTGTTCCATCCCCACACCACATTCCTCTAAGACATGCTAAAGCCCCATGCTCCTGTTCTCCAGAGCAGCTGGGGCTACGGACTGACTGAATTAAAAACATGGAGAGAAAATAGAGCAATGCATAAGCTGAATATTCAATTTTACAAAGCAAGATTTTGACGAGATATGGTTTTATGTGTCTTTTATTAGACCAACCGAAACTATATAAATAACTATAAAAGCAGAAATCTTCCCTAAAAAGCCTCATATGTTGTTAAGCAACAAACCCACCCCCGTAGTTTTGTAAAGGATCTCAAAAACTACATTCATTTGGAACTGAAGCAAAGCCTCTGAAATTGTAAAATTCTTCAGGAGAAAAATTCACAAGTAGCTTTCATTTCAGGTCATTCAAAACTTTTTACTTTCTACCACAGAACAAAACTAAAATGCTAAAGAAAAACCTGATCCAAAACATAAGCTGAAGCCTTTCATTCCAGTACTAAGGATACTATAAAATGTTTTACTAGCACATTTTTAATATCAGCTAGATTTTTGAAAAATGAGCACTGAGTGACAGAAAACAGATATTCTAACATGGTACAATTTTGCTTTGGCACAAGCTGGAAAAAGCTATCTGAACAGCATTACATGAGGGTGATCAGAAGGGAACCCGAACCAAAGACCACCAGACCTTTATTTCTCCCAAGCAGAAACAGAATCTGAACTTTTACTCCAAAAATTGCTGGACCTGCTAAAATCTGAATCAAGAAGAGGTATACCAGATCACAAGTGCAGAGTAGTGGTTTCACCAAAATCTAGTGGGTCCTGTCAAGCAGCATGACCATTTGCATGGGCTACGATCTGCAGAGCTGCCTCGTGCTCTCCCACCACCATGCACCAGTATGACCCTATAGATGCATCTGTACCCAGGAGATGTGCTTTTCTGCTCTGCTGGGGGCCTTGTTACAAGATGAGCTCTAAACCGGCTTCCCTGGAGACATGGCCATGCATTTGACTCTTGTTCTCCCATGTTGGAAAGCCTCACGTTGTTACTTGTAACAGAGCCTGCGTCCCTTCATCCCCATCACCCTGCACGTTTCCACTGCAGTATCACCAGTGTCCCATGTTCAGCATGTGCTGGATCTGATGCTGTAAGGGAGGAATTCTTGATGGTGGGCAGGCCCAGAGACAGAGAGAAGCTTTGGGGCATTTCTTCCATTTTCAGCTTCCCCACTCATCCCACCCACAGGGCAAAATGGAAGCTCTTTGGGGTCTCATTCCCACAGGAGGGATTTGGGGAGTCCAAAAGAAGCCACAATGCTTTGCTGGAAATATAAAAGGCTTCCTACCCTTGGAAGGGGAACAGGAGGGGGGTGCTAACCCCCCACTGCACCCTAAGTCCTGTCAGTCACCCAAACTTCCACCTGGCCCTTTCTATTTTGAAAAAATCCTACTTTCTGACATAAGATGATAGGGGTTTGCCGAGTTGGTTAACAAACAGTTAACCTCAGTTGGAGCGGTCTTAATCACAGCTGAAACAAAACTGGAGTCAAACTGAAAAAATGTTCTAGTTTGACTCCCTGCTTACACCACTTATAAACCTTGCAATTCAGTGTCTCCCTCCAGCTGTCACTGATAGGAAGCTATATATAGGTGAAGACAAAACAGCACCCTCAGTAATGTATAAAAGCTTTTAGAAGTGAGGTTCTCATATATGCAATTGAAACAACAGCACCGTGTACTTTTGTACATATTTTGTGCAAGAAATAGCGTAAATACTGAGGACCAAATCTATGAATATTTCAGCAACTCTTCAAAACAAAACAAAAAAAGAAATCTATCAACTTTAATGATAACTAGTGGCCAAAGCCTCAAACTTGTATTTTCTTAGCTGTAAATTAGTGCCTGTAGCAGCACAAATCTCCCAGTTACCTCATGAAAATTTCTGGACTTCTCTTAGAGTATCCCCACCTATGCTACATCTTTCTTATATGGGAAAACTGAAGTCCATAATTTCCAGCTGTAAAGGTTGCTCTCTTGCAGGCACAATGCTCAAGATGTGGCAATCTCTCCATGTTTTTTAATTGTTTCTTTAAGGCCTGTTTGTCTACAAGATTCTACAACATTTTGCATCTGGTTGTCAAGCAACAGATGCTTACTTTACAAATACAAAAAAAGGGTGTATGTGAGTTTGAAATGCCCCAAGGAATATTAGCATACAGATAACCCAAGGCAGATCAGGGAGGCCGTTCAAAACAGCTCTTAAGAGTATATTCCATTATGAGAAAATGAGGAGGCCTGTTTCAGAGGATACAATATGTCACCAATGAAACCAGATTAATTTTTTTTTTGTATGGCAAATAGAAGTGTCACATGCAGCAGCTTTTATAAAGTAGCCATTATAGTTCATTAATGCAAAGTAGAAATACATTTAATTTTATCATCTCATTTTAAATGAACTTTGTGTTACTACCTGAATCCATCTTTATTTGCCTCGGTGAGATGGCAGGTCCCTCCATTCTGACATGGATTTTGAATGCAAGAATTAATGGGCACACTGCAGTCTCGACCCTATTTGGGAAAATTCAAAAGAAACAAGGTTAGTAAGACTCATGTAATCCGAATCAATGTCTCCTGCTCCCTCACCCTGTGTAGCACCATTTACAGGAGGTCTGTGGTCTTCAGACCCATCACATCACGTAATGTTCTTTACTCATGGGCAGCTATATTCATCACTTAAATGGGAATTTGGGCAGGGCAACTGTTCTGACCAACGGGACTATTGGACATCGTGGTATCGTTTCAGTTTCAGGACTTTACTTAACTCTTTCTTTTGACTGTTTTAAGGAAACAGCTGGTTTCATCATTACTCTAGCATGCTTTAATCTCTAATATTAGTTACAATGAAAAGAATTAATCAAGACCGAAGGTAAGCAGGCGGCCACACACAGTCAGCGCAAGACCACATGGAGTCAGCACTCATTCAACCGCATTTACCAAGTGCTCATTTAAACACTGCAACAGTACACCACGCTCATTACTACGTATTGTCAAAACCTAAAGGGGAAAATTCATTTTTACTGCGGGAGCTGAGTTTGAATTTCTGTACAGAACACACAATCCTGTTTGAGACATCATCATTGAATCAGTTCCCTTCTTAAAAATGGCCCTAAAATATATATCAGTTCAAACTGAACCTCACCAGATTGAGCAGCCTCCACTGTTATCAACAGAATTTTATTGGCTCTTCAAGGCAGAGACATATTTCACTGATCCTTATATACTGCTAATTAGAATAAGCTATTTGTAAAATTGGCAAATAGGTCTAAGAGTTTGGTCTTGCTTTTCAGTTACACAGTAGGGTGAAACAGAGACACCTGAAAGCCTCAGTACTCAAGGGATCTATGCAATCACAAGAAGTCCAAGAGATCTCTCTACTCTTCCTACCAAAGATCACATTAGCAGTGGCCCTCTGCCAGCTCATCTACTGGGAAGCTGATACATGACTGCAAACAAGACAAGAACAATATCTCAGGAGATACATTAATTCAGTCAAGGTTGCTGGGTTTTTTTTGCCTTGGTTTAAAAAATGTTATTTACATTGTACTATAGAGGAATAACAACGGTATATCTATTTGTAAGTTTCTAAAGAAAGAAGGCAGACGCCAGCCCCTGACATCGGTTCTTAACAGCTGTAACTTCTGCGTATTAGTATGGAACACTACCCCACCACTGCCAACTTTCCTTGCTGACAACACTCGTCAGAAGTCGTTCCTTTCTCCACCGAATTTGCAACAGCTTCCTACGCTTTTCAGACTCTACATACCCGGTGTGATGTACTGAAACAGAGGACACTCAGAGAGTTTCTATTGTCTATTTTTTTTTTTTTTTTTGTGATGGCCGTGTTGTCAAAATGAAGCATCTTGACACTTCAGCCATATACTGCACATGAGAGCATCAACTGTTAGGTTTTTTTCCACCTAGCTTTGAGATTTTGTTATTCTCACTTAAGATATACTGTTACATTAGAATTAAGAATGGACCCTGAGAAGCCTAACACTGTATTTGGCAGATACCTGACAATGATCTGGTTGCCTCAGGATGAATACAGTATGATTAGAAAAGGACTACCAAAATGTTCAAGGAAATGGAGCAACTGCTTTAGAAGAAGATACTATAAAGACTAGGACTCTGGAGAAAAGAAAACTGATGGGGGTGATATGATCGAGGTTCAGAAAATCATGGAGGTGGTGAATGCAGAATTTGTGACAAGCTAGATCCCTCAGCAAAAGAAGAACAATTATGATGTTAAGATGAGCTTAATGTAAGCTCTTACTTAGGTAAGATGAACTTAACAGATACAAGAAAATACTTCTTCCTAAGTATGAGCTTCTGGGACGTTTTTGCCACATGAGGTCGTGAAGTCAGACAGCATAAAAGCCATTAGACAAATTCACGTACTATAGATCCAAACCAGATATGAATGGCAATAGTGAGACATCGACATCCCTCGTTGGATCACAGTGAGTGCTGGGAGAACTGGAGAGAAGTGTTGGCCCGGCTCGTGTACTCTCCTCAAACTGCTGCCCCATGAGAGACAGAATGCTGCAGTGAATGCACTACAGACCCACTACGGCATTTCTCAAGTTTCTTATGTCAAAGTTGTTTGAAAGGCTTATTTGACTCTCAACGAGGAAAACGTTCCCTACCTTTTTTTCAAAAGAACCTAGCTGCTCCCTGAACCAAGACTACATGGTTTTATGCATTATAAGGGAACAGATCTCTCAGGAAAACCACACCAGGATGGGTTTGATCAGTTTGTTTACGGCTGCATATCTGTTTGGGAAATCTAGATCTTGAGCGAAGAACAAATAGGCTGGTCACATCTTTCTAACCCTTGTTCATCATTGCCCACCTCTCTCTCTTACACCCTATGTTGATCAGAAGTTCCTCTTCAGCTCTTAACTGGTGTGCCCCTTTCCAGCAATGTGCCCAGCGTGGAGGTGACAAGCCAGGAGGACAAGGACTGTGCTGGTTCTGTGAGAGCTCAAACTCCATTCGTGCTTTAAGTACTGTATAAATAATAGTAGCCATCTTAATTTGTCTCTGGGGTGCTTATCTTGAAATTGGTGCAGCCTCAATTAAGCCTAATCAAGGCATGAAAAAAACAAAACCGGCTTCTAAGCATGAACGTTTCTACAGAGTTCATTTGATCTGGGCTGCCCGCTGACAGTGCTAGGCTCTCCCATTCACGTCATGCAGTCCAGTCCTCCAAACACTACTGAAATCTTCGGTATTTTGTCAGGTAGGACATACTGCCATTGCACTGTGAGAAGAACTGACACGCACAGTAATTATACTTCCGTCCAACGCCACAGAGGAGCTTTGTTACAGAAACGCGAGACAAAGCTGTACATCTTAAGGCATTCCCCAGAGAGAGGAGAAAGAGGTTTGCATTTTAGAATTTGTGCAACTACAAGGAAACGGGTACATTCGTTTCCTCGGTTCAATCAGAAGAGAAACATTTGCAAAGAACAGCAGAAAGACCTGGCCAAGCCCCTGCCTCACTGGGAGTTCATTCCCCCAACACAGCAGTGCGGGCAGCGCGCGCAGACCTCGCCCAAGGCTTGGCAGGGCGGGTTTCGGCTTCATCCACGCGGCGTTTGCCAAACAGCCTGTCCTTCTCCATTTGAAATCCCCAGCCCCCAAATGTCTCGGGGAGGACTTGGGAAAGCGCCGAGGGAAGCTCATGCAGGTTTTATTTTGGCACCATGTGGTCCGCAGCACTCCACGGACGCGAGCCATGCAGCACTCGCACTAATCCGCTGCCACTCTTCTGCAACACTGCCTGGGTTTTGTCCATCTGTGTTGCGAATCCGGTGTGTTTACCATATTATCATAGCGAAGCTGGAAGATGCCATTTTTTATATTTCAGAGATCACAAATACTTTTCCTGCGTCCCTGAAGAACTGACTATTTTATAGATACTTCACCAACATCAGTTACTTCTGTTTCATACGAACTCGTCACCCCTGTATCACTGAAGTATTAAACCCTTTGCCGTTAAGCATAGCGAGAAGCAAAGCCGAAACCACAGCATCTTTTTTTCTGAAGGTTTTTGTCACAGTTGAACATCATGTAAAACAGTCCCATCACTTCTACTATAATTATTCAGATTATTTTGAATGTTCTTGTAAAAATTTAATAAAGATAAATGTTAAAATAAGAGCAAGGCTTTTTCAGTCTCTCTCATTGGCACACGAAATTTCTCATGACTTAGACTCAGCTCTCATTTCCGTACTGAACATGGCTGAATTATTGGCTTCTTGGGCCTCAGGCACCATGGAAACCGATTAGTATGTGCTGCTGAATCAGACTTAATTACAACAGTAAGTTGCTACGTGGCTTTAGGAAAATGAGACTCTCTCTGACTCAGTTTACTCATTGTAATAAATGGGTAAACAGCACTTAATCCTTCTCTGAGGATTATCTTCTCCGAGCTGACTTTATCAATGGCACACTGAGAGCCCACAAAAGAAGTACAATTTCTCTAACGCAGAAGACTACGAAAACCAAAGAATTCTGAAAGGAGAAAAGCTGCAGAAAATATTGGTACTAATAAATCTAGAGCAAAGCAAGGCCATTTTATTTCTGTATAAGACTGTCACTACCCAGAAGAGCCCAAAGACATTCTAGAAACATCTTTCAAATGAATAATGCAATTCTCTAGTCTCAATTTACAGTAAGACTGTTCTCACTGGAAAAATGGAATTGCTGTCAAGCATCACTGAAATTAATTTATCTGTGAGTTGGGAAAAACTCTTTGAATTACATTCCCTGGAAGTAAGTACAGTTACAAAGGAGAATATTGTATATTTGCTTCAAGACTGAAGAGCCTTTTAATGAAGTCCGAATCAGAAAAAGAGGTGCTGACTTAGTTTCAAGGATGGGCAAGAAGATACGACTGCCTCTGCAATTCACAGAAAGAGGATGAAGGTCCCTCTGCATGCAATATTTTCTTTCTAGAGCTCTTTCAAGCTGCAATACATTTTTGTCTAGTCTGATAGGAAAGTATCAGATCCAAACCACTTCTATATAATTTCTCTCATTTTCTGTAGGAGAGGAAAGGATTAGGTGTTGAAACATAACATTTCTGCAACTAATCAGAAGACATATATGTTCAGAGTCCAGCTGCCTTTTTAAATCTGAAGTACCTCAGCTGGTCCAGATTTTATCTGGGCTGCTCCAGCTCCATATTTCAGTAAATGAGAACAGAAACTATCCACCATACTTAGAAAGTGTCAGTTCTTCATTTCATACTCAGCAGTAATTAACCGTACTGGGCATTAGTGTATATACAAGCTGTTCCTCAGTACTGCTGTGCCAAATTCTAGCCTTTGTAATATCCAACACTGGAAAACATTACATCATGATTAGTAGAACACCTTTTTTGGAAGAACAAAGGAGAATACTATAAAAAAGCACTAATTTCCTTTGACACTGTTTCAACCACAGCAATGATCTTTTTTTATTTAATTAATTTTCACAAATTAGTATTGTCTAGGGAGACT